CCGCCAAGAGGCTGGCACTCTCCAATTGGGTCAGGTGCCTAGCCCTTAGCCAATCACTCTGTGAGGGAGGTGGAGTCAAGTGGGGGAAGGTTGATTCCCATCAGGATGACAGGGCCCGTGGGAGGTGAGGGCGGAAGGATGCCCAGGAGAAGGGGACAGCACTCCTGTGACCTCGAGGGGAATTGAGTAAGATGGCCGCCACCCCGTGAGAGTCACCACTGGATCCTAGAGCTGGAAAAGGCTTCCTCCCTGACTTGCTGTGTGTCTTGGGCAAGGAGAGGATGGGAGGGTGCTCTGAGAACCTGAAAATACCGCGTAATTTTCTGCAAACGAAGGAGGAAGAGCGACACGGCAGAACACCGCACTCTGCCAGCTGCCATGCCTCTGCGGAGGGATAGGATCAGAGATATTAATCTGGGCTTCTCTCCGTTTCTCCTGTATTTTCCCCTTTCCCTCCCCTGCGCTCACCACCCCAGGGAACGACCTGAGCCAAGCGGAAAGCCAGGAGCCTGTCTGGAGTGGGGAGAGGGTTCCCAGCGTGGACAGAGCTCCCTGAGGACACACACATGGGAAGAGAGGCCCCCAGCCCTGACCAGGGAGGTGGGCCCAGGGCTGGGGCACGCGGGGAGAGGCTGAGGGAGGCCCCTGGATCCCGCAGCCAAAGGCCTTGCCCCCAGCACTCCTGGGGCCCCTGGGACATCCCGTGTGAGTTAGAGAAAGGTGGCCCCTCTGGGAGGTGCCCCACGCTGGGATCCCTTGCTGAGTGGCTGCGCTGGGCTTCCTCTCCCACCTCTGCTGGGTTCTTGCTCATCAGGATGAGGTGGTTCTGACTGTGCTGTTTTCTGTGTGGGCCTTCCCCATGTGCATGTGTGACCAGGGCCCAGACGGTCTCCCCAGAAAAGCTTCCCAGGCCCAGCCCAGTAGGGGTGAGGAGGCAGGAGGGAGCTGCTCGATCCCAGCTGCCCGGTGCTCGTTTGTGAAGACCAGAGACCAGCAGGGCCAGCAGCAGCCAGTCTCCCTCCTGAAATTAAGATTCTGGTGTTGAGGCTTATTTCCTGCTGGCTGGGCAGAGGTGGGGTGTAGAAGTTGAAACTGTCTTTTAGACAACAGTGTCCCTGGCACAGCTGTGTGCGTGGAGTGAGAGTCCTATCCAGTCCACGCCAGGGACCTCGTTTTATTCTCACAACCACCCTGTGAGGCAGGAAAGCCGGTCCTCGTCTCACAGATGAGGAGAGCGAGGCAGACTCAGAGAGGCCGAAGAGCCTGCCCAGGGTCACACAGCCCCCCGCACAGCAGAGGCCCAGCAGACACCCCATCTGTAATTTGTATCTCCCCTCCTTCCCCTCCCCTCCCTCCCCCTCCCCTCCTCTCCTCTCCTCTCCCATTTTTCCTTCTTTCACTCATTTGACAGTTTTAGCAAGTGCCAATTATACCTGTCACACCCTGTGAGACCAGGGTACCCGGTGCGGAACAGGCAGGTGGGAGACAGGACGGGGGAGCTGAAAGCGTGGCCTCTCTGAGGCCGAGCTGCGTCATCTGTAACTCGGCTGTGATGGTGGTGTGCACGGCCTCACCTGAGCAGGGCTCTGCCCCACCTCGGGGAGGGTGGGCTGTCTCCACGAGTTATTCGGAATTTTTCTGAGTGAGACATTTGTCTCCTCACGGCACTCGAGGCAGGGCAGTAAGAAGCCAGGAAAAGTTGTGGGCAAGTGGGATGAGAACACTGAGACAAGAAAATTACACAAGGCCAAACAATGTCAACAATGTACAGCCAGCTGGTGAATCGCAAGACCTTCCCTTCCCCAGCCAAGGACGCTGGAGAGCGAATGGTTTACGCCTCTCCTTTCGAACCAGAGCACACGTCGCTTAAGTCACCCCACTCTGGGAGCTAGAGGACAGAGACCCAGCCTAACCCAAGGACAGATGAAGTCAGGGGAACAAGTAACAAAGACCTGATAATGTCAGACAGACCCAAGATGACAGTGAAGTAGAAGGCTGACCAGAGAATAATCCCAAACTCCCCTATGCGCTCACTTGGGTGTATCAGCGTATTAGAAATGCACCTGGCTAGCTGACGAATATTCCTCTGAAACCCTCCCCTGAGATTCTCACCTGCAGGAGGGAGCGAGAACCCCTAAGACTAAGATCCGAGGCGGGCTCTCTCTAGAGCACACCCACACCCCGTCTTATTTTCAGGCATGAACTTTTTACTTTCTCCTAAACCCTAAGGGCCCCATGAGACTGGCAACCAGGGGAGTGGCAGGCAGCGGCAGCTCGACCTGGGCTAAACCCCTGATTCTGTCTCCCTGGCCTGCCCTCTAAGCCCCCACCATCTCTCTGACTTCCCAGCGAGCTCACGGCAGCCCCACCGTGGCTCACTTCTTTCCTGTCATGTTTCTTCAGGGCCGAAGCTGCCCACTGCCCAGGCTCTGTCCTTTTGCTCCTTCTCCCCTGTGTCCTTCCTTTGTCTCACTGGCCCCAGCTGCGAGAAACACCCCCCAAATTCCCTGGACTCGTTTTGTGGAATCTTTCCTGCACCACGTCAAGAACCCACGCCACGCACTGCAGGCCGGCCCAAGGCAGGCCTGCTCCAGACCTCGCCCCTTCCAGTGACACATTTATGTACTTAACACTTATATCAGTGTGAACTCATGGGGATATTTTTTATTTTTACTCTTTGATGGGTAGGTATTTTAGAAACTTTCCTACTTTGGGATATAATCCTATTCTTTCCTCTGCACCCCCATTGTTCCATCTTTGGCCGTCAGCAGCTCTTCCCCTGGGCCGGCGCCCGTTTACGCAGGGCGTGTGTCCCCCAGCACGTCCTCGGGGCCTGGCCTCTGTCACTGACAGTGTGCTCCAGGCCCCTGCTGCGCTCTTCCGGCCCAGTCCCAGAATCTGCCATTTCTCCAGGGGGCCTTGGCTCCTTTGATTCAAGAGTGGTGTTAGAAACCACCGTCTGACTGAATAATATTCCACCATATGGGTAAGATATCCTCCTATACTTTATTTGTCCATCTGTCTGTTCGTGGACATTAGGCTGTTTCCCCTGCTGGGCTGTCATGAGTCATGCTGCTGTGAACATCTGTGTTTGGATTTTTGTGTGGACAAGTTTGCATTGCTCTTGAGATGTACCTAGGCGAGGAATTGCTGGGTCGTACAGTAATTCTGTTTACCTGACTGAGGGACGGATGAACCGTTTTCCCCGGCGGCTGCACCAGACGACATCCCGCCCCCCCAGCAGTGCGGGAGGGGCCCAGTTTCTCCATATCCTCAGCAACACTGGCCCGTGCCTGTCTTCTTTTTTAACCCTCCCCCAAGGACATGTTTTTTTCATTGCTTTTAGAGACAGAGGAAGAGAGAGAAACACTGATCAAGAGAGAAGCATCTCCTATGTGCCCCGTTGTATTATGTCCTTAAATTGATTCTGTTTTTCCCTTGAAAAACAAACTTTCTGTCCTCATCAGTAGAGAACAAGTACCACTGGCCAGAAATAGAAAGTAACCACACAAATAAGCCCAGTGGAAATAATGTGATTAAACTGTGGCTGGAGGCTGTTGCCGGCCAGAGGCAGGGGGGGGGGGGGGGGGGTGCTGCTGTCCCTGGTAACACCAGGGCTTGGCCAGGGTTGGGGAGCCGCCTGTGGGCTTGCACCAAACCGGGGCTTTCTCCTCCTCCCAATCAGAAGGCTGGAGAGACCCTGAAGAGACAGGAACTTGCTCTCCGCCGGACTCCACTTTAGTGACCGAAGGACCCTCCCCCAGCCCCAGGGGTACACTGGAGTGGCGAACCCAGAAGTGCCTCACGCACAAGGGTGTTGGGCTTTGGCTAAAGGCCTCCCACTGCCCCCAGCAGCTCACCTGGGCAGGTCTCCGACGGCAGGTCCACCTGTGTGAATTCGGGCCTGGTCACCCCGGGTTCTTTGTCAGTGTTTTGGAGCCTGGTCAGCAGAAAGCCAAGTCTCACAGCCCACTTCTGCTGGAAATGCCAGGGGCAAAGGACCCAGCCACGACCCCCTGTGAGGTCCCGTCCCTCGAGGCCCTGTCTTATCTGGACACACCCTACCCCACAGGGGACCTTGTAGTTTGCACACTGGCACACTGCAGGGAGGCCTCTGAGGGTGGGCCTGCTTTCAGGGAGCTGAAGGTCAGTGTGTGTGTGTGGGGGGGGGCTCAGGTCCAGAAACAGGTGGTTACAGAGAGAAAGGTGCGAGAGTGGAGGGGAGGCTGAGGGCCCCCCCATGAACCTGTGAGCAGCCCCATGAAGTCACAGCCACACCTGGCTTCAGAGTGAAGATGGAGAAGAAAAAGGAGTTTTCAAGATGTCAAGGGCCTGGCTGGCCAGGGAAGAGGTTGCCAGACGGCATCCCGCACTTGTGCCAGGGACAGTGAGCCAAAAATGGCACCTGGGGTTCTTGGGAGGGCTCCTGGGTGGGCGTGGAGGAGGTGCACCGGGAAGGAGTCGTGGGGCCCTGCAGGGAGGCATCCTAGGCCAGCCCAGTGGAAGAGCTCCGCACGAAGCTTGCGTCATAGCCCTGTTATCTAGCGCCCCCAGGTGGACAGTTTGAGAATGGGCGAAAACGCTGGAAAAGGAAAGCGGCATTGCCTTGACTTCCCAGACGCGATAAAGTCACCACGTGGGGCTGCCTCAGGCAACCCCACCCAAATCTGGCCTCCACCACGGTCCTGCTCCCGGACCTCATGGGGGTAAAGGCGAACTCGCGGTTTCATTATTTGTAAACTGAGGTGCAATCCCAGGAGGCCCTCAGCTAGTTGGAGGTCTCCCCAGCTCCCCACAGTCTGTTTTTGCTCTGGCCTGGCCAACTGGTGACCGAAGCTACACGGTGACCTTTCAGGTCTCAGAAAATCCACAGAAGGCTGAAATACTAACATGGCCATTGAAGGCAGGGGACCGTGGCTCTGACAGACGTCGCTGTCACCCCTGCAACCTGAACGGGCCTGGGCTAGTTATTTCCCCTCCTTGGGCTTCCAGCTGCTCATCTGTAACATGGGGTAAATGAGATGGTGTGTGAAGCACCCACCATGGAGACGAGCCTGGCTTTTTCCAGGTAGGATTGCTCGGAGAATTTCATCACGGTAAGTTAATTTCAGTTTAATGAGACAATGCACATGCAACTTGCAGCCTGGGCAGAGTCTCAGTGATGCATGCTGGGCCTGCTGGGGCTCTGAGACACCTGCAGGCTCAGCTGTTCCGGGCGGGGGCCAGGCAGGCACGGCCTGGAGGTGGCACCCAGGCCTGGAAGCAGAGAGGGCCTGCTCCTCCCTTGCTGCCGGCCTTTGTGCCAGCCTGGACCCCCAGGGGGCTTCCTCGGGGGTCTCCACCTCAGCCAGCACAAACACAGAGGCACCAGGCCCTGTCTAGGTCACACAGGGACCTGGGATGGCCAGGATGAACTTGACTCACAGCTCCAGGCTCCTCATCTGAGCCAGATGCCCACTGGCCCTCTCTGTGCCCACTTCGGATCCACCGGACGAAGCCCTGCCTGGGCCTGGAGGTGTCTACCTGCTCCCCGCTCTTTCAAGTCTCTTCAGAGAGGGGAAGAAAAATGTCTTTTCTTCTACCTGCTAGGTCTGTGGGCCTGGGCCTGCCCAGGCCCCCGCTCACCCCAGGCCTGTCTCCCATGGCTTCAGTCTGTGTTTACAGGAGGAACACGGGTGGCTGCTGAGCTGACTCAGCTCCTCCTGAACGAGAGTGGGACGTGGGGGCCACAGAGGCTGTGTGGCCCAGGGGCAAGGGCTGGGTAAGGCCTGGTAGGGGCCCAGGGGTGCGAGATGTCCCAGGAGCTGCAAGGTCACAAGCATTCAGAGCAGACAGCACTTGGGGACATGGACAAAGAGCATGGCCTACTCTGTCACCTGCCACTGTGTGACCCTGGGCAAGTGACTTGACCTCTTTGAGCCTCAGCTGCTGAATTGTAGAGAATCCTCTTTCACCGCACGAGTGTCCGACAGGTGCTGAGCAGGCGTTTGATGAAATCCAACACCCATTCCTAGTTTTAGAGAAAAGAGTTTTTAAAAATAGGAATAGATTTTATGCTTTCACATGATAGAAATGTATAAATATATGGCACCAAAGCCGGCACTGCATTTGCTGGTAAAAGCCTGGGTGCAGGCCCATTACCTTCTGGGATGGAACCAGGACCTCCTGTCGCCGCTGCTGCTGAATGCTGCTTTGGGGACTAACCCAGGCAGTGAGGCAGGACACGTCCCTGAGAATGAGTGCTGGGAACACAGAGGCAAAATTCTCATGTTTTTCGATTATTACCTACAAAAGCTAAGAGAAGCCCTGGCTGGTGTGGCGCAGTGGATTGAGCACCAGCCTGCGAACCAGAGGGTCACTGGTCTGATTCCTGGTCAGGGCACATGCCTGGGTTGTGGGCCAGGTCCCCAGTGAGGGGTACGAGAGGTAACCACACATTAATGTTTCTGTCCCTCTCTTTCTCCCTCCTTTCTCCTCTCTAAAAACAAATAAATAAAATATTTTTTTTAATCTAAGAGAATCAATTAGAAAAACTATCACAAACTTTAGATTTAAAAACATCAGTATTTGAAAATCAAGTGAAACTAGCCTGTAGGGTATTACGACGGTGATTATATGTACATATACATTTGTCCAAACCTGTACAATGTACTGAGAGGGAGCCCCCATGGACTGGGTGACAACGATGTGTCATTATCGGTTTGTCGACTGTAACAAGTCAACCACTCTGGGGGGGAGCGTTGACGCCCGGGAGGCCGGGCCTGTGCGGCAGGGGTTTTGTGGGACTTCTCTGTGCCTTCCGATTTTGCCGTGACCCTGACGCTGCTCCAAAAACAAAGTCCATAAAAAAGTCAGTCGCCTATATATAGATTGCATTGTTGATAAGTAGTAATCAATTAGAATATGTCTCTGATGAAAAGAGCTCATTCATAATGGCATTTAAGAAAAAAGAAGTAAAATGTTAGGAAATGGTTTAGCAAGGATTGAGTAAGTTCTGGCTGCAGACAAGGCGTAGTGGGAGACTCACACAGACAGGCTTTCTTCTTGGCTAAGAAACCCAACATCATCAAATGTCTGTTTTTTCTGAATTACTTATGAATTTAATAAAGTCCAAACAGGATACTGAAAAACTTCATCAAATGACTCATCCAGAAGAGTGAATGTGTGAAAATAGCTGGGGAGATTCTGAGAAGGAAGAGTGACAAGGAAGGACTGAATCCATTAAGCTATTAAAAGATGTAACGTGCCCTGGCTGGTGTGGCTCAGTGGACTGAGCACTGGACTGCCAACCGGAGGGTTGCCTGTTCGATTCCCAGTCTGGGCACAGGCCTGGGTTGCAGGCCAGGTCCCTAGTAGGGGGCGCACAAGAGGCAACCACATATTGATGTTTCTCTCCTCTTTCTCCTTCCCTTCCCTTACTCTCTAAAAATCTTATAAAAAAAAAAAAAGAAATGAGTGATCAAGTGATCAAGCCATGAAAAGACACAGACTAACTTTAAATGCATGAAGCTTAGTTTAAGAGGCTGGTCTGAAAGCCACACACTGTGTAACCCCAACTGTCTGACATTCTGGAAAAGGCAAAACTACAGAGACAGTAAAAGCACCGGTGGTTGGGGAAGGGTGCCAGAGTGAGGCAGAGGCTGTTGGGCAGAGAAGCTGTTCTCTGGATACCGTAGTGGAGGCTACAACGTTGCGTACTGGTCAAAGCCCACAGAACGTGCAATGCAGAGAATGGACTCTAATGTAACTTACAGACTTTAATGAATAATGGTCTGTCAATGTCAGTTCACCAGTGTGAACCAACAGTATTGTTCTAACGAAAGATGTGAACAACAGAGAAAGCTGTGAGCAAGGAAGAGAGGGGGTATATGGAAACTCTGTAGAACCTACTTAATCTGAGACTGACCCCCCCCCACAATAAAGTCTATTGATAAAGACAAGAAAATGAACCCCGAGATGGACAGCCTTCCTCCATGCGAGACCAGCCCTCCCAGGCAGGAAGGGGAGGATCCCTCTGGGGTCAGCTGGAGAGGTACTGGCTGGATGTCCAGGTCCTCATCCCAGCTCGTGAGTCAGGCGAGCCTCTCTCCTTCCCGGGGCCAGAGACCTGCGTGTCGAGGAGACGCCCTGCCAGGTAAAGGGGTTCAGAACACGCCTCCCCAAAGACGCCGCCGTGGCGTGCTGATGACTGTGTGCTGGAGGCCGGTGAGAAGCGGCAGGCGCAGGAAGGGCTCGCTGGCCTCCCGTTTCTGCCAGAAAGTGGGCCGTGGACTTTCCCAGGAGGAAGGTGCCCTCCCTGCGCCAGGAAAAGCCCACTCTTGTCCCCGGAAGCCGGGGGTGGGGAAGAGATCAGATGAGGGAGCGCGCAGAGCCGGGTGCGCGCCTGCTGGGGGCGCGGGACTCCAGGGGACGCCCTCCGACCAGGAAAAGGATCCTGCGGTCGCTTCCATCCCGAGTACCTACCTCCGAGAGCGGGTGTGCGCCCAGTCGGTGTGGGCTTATTCGCCCGCCCTCATCCGCGCTGCTCCAGGAGATGTTCCAGGTTATTTGACGCCTGTTCCCGCATCCTGCACCGCACCTCAGCCCCCTGGGTGGGAGGAGAGGCTGCGGGCCCCCGAGGGCAATGCTGTACACCGGGCGATGACGCTCCGGGGAAACCGGACGACACAGCAGAAGCTCTGCCCAGGGGCGGCTGGACAGGTGGGGGAGGCCACCGGGAGGACGAGGGGTTGCCTGGGGGGAGGAAATGTTCCCGGCCGAGGGCACGGCCTGAAGGAAGGCCCGAAGATGGGAGAGCTGGGGTGCCGGGGCCTTCGGAGCCGCGCATGGGGGAGGCCAGTGGGGCCCCGGTGAAGGGCTGGAGCCCTTTGCGGAGAGCTGCGTCCCCACCCTCGCAGCCTCTCGTCCGGGGCGCCCTCTGACACCCCGGCCGTCTGAGAGGCGTCCCCTGGCATCTCCGACCCGCAGCCTCGGGCCCCAGTGCAGCCCCGAGGTGGCAGCATCGCGCGCGCAATCAAATCTGCCCCTCCATCCCTTTACGTGGGTCATTCCTCTGCCGGGCTCAGCACTGCCTGCTCTGTCCCCCGAATTGTCCAGCGCTCCAGGGGCTCCGTATGTTGGTGGGAAGAGGTGCTTGAATGCACGGCAGGTCATGCGGGGAGGGGGGTCCTCATCGAACCTGATGGGTTCAGAGAGGTCCTGCTGGTCACTGCTGAGGACAGAACCTGAGACAAAGAAGGTGCTTAATAAACGTGAGCCCCTCTTAAGAACAGCGGCCTCCCAAACCCCCATAGGCTCCAGACAAGTCCGCTGCAGCTTGGGCGCTCGAGTTTCTTCCATCCCTCTCCACTTCCCTGCCTTCAAAGCCGACTCAGCTTCCTTTGACTAAGAGTCCAGAAGTCCTTCCGGCCCCTCCCTCTCTGTCTTCTACCTGGTTATTAAGGACTCTCGATGATAACATCATTGCCCCTCAGGGTAACATTTCTATTTAATGAGAAAGTTCAGGCTGGGTGGCACCTGAAACCCAAAGGAAGCCATCACGGTGGAATTTCAGGCACAGACCTCTAAGCCGGCCAGGTGAGGGCGGGCTCCCCACCTCCCTTCATCCCCTTCAGGTCAGCCACAGGGTCTGGGCCCAGTGTGGAGAAGGGCTTCTCTGACCAAGGTTTCCCACAGGACTCCCTGCAGAGCTGCAGCGGGCGGCCGGGGCACATTGGGATGCAGGATACCGGCTTCCTCAGGACCCGCACCACCTCAGGCCGCTGGCCCTCCCAGGTGGTGGCGATGAGGGCCACCTGTGAGGTCTGAGCGCTCCTTTCCCATTAGTGCAAAATTCCAAAGAGAGACGTGTCACTGAGGGCAGAAGCGAGGCCTGGCTCTGGCTTTGAGACTGGCTCTGACCTTGAGCTTGTTATTCCCTGAGCCTCAGTTTCCTCATCTGTAGAATGAGAATCATTGTACCTGTTCTGTCTCTAGCAGCCTTTTTAATGTCTTTGAGCTTCAATGTTCTCACCTATAAAATGGGGATAATTACAGCCTTTCCTGTCTACCTTACACGTTTGCAAGTAAATCTATCCCTTTACTCATTAAAAAAACAATAATAATAACAATGATGATGAATGGAGCGTGCTCGCTACATGCCTGGCATGTGTACCTGACGAATTTACTCATTCCTCCTGGCCACTGTGGGAGGCAGATGCCCGCATCCGCACCACTTCACAGATGAGAAACCCGAGGCCCCTGATTCATTCACTCAGCCTCACGCAGCTGAGTGTGATTCAGACTCACTCGGTCTGGGCCCACGGGTCCCTCTCTGGACACAGTCCACTGCACCAGGGACTGTTACGTGGTGGCCCCAATCAACGGAGGTTCCGTGAATGACCGTGCAAAGTGCCCTGCAGGGAGAGGGCGCCCAGCTCAGACTGGGGCGGGGGCGGCCATGCCCTACCCTGCTCACTGATGCAGGTGAGTGTTGTAGGTTTTTGCAGAGAAATATGCAAAGGATCTCTGTCATTTGTCACGTAGTCTCATCCCCAACTGAGATCTGGGACTTCTGTGGGGCTCCTGGTCTGGTCGAAAGCGCACAAAGGTGGGCTCAGAGAGACCAGAGCTCACATCTCGGCTGCGTGACTACTTCTCTGAGCCTCCACAGCCTCGTCTCTAAAATGGGTACATTTATGACAGCTGAGTAAGGTGGTGATGGAAAGTGCATGAGAAAATGTGGAGGAAACCTGCAAAGGGCGCGGGGACCGTGGCAGCCGCAGTGGGTCGGTCCATTTCCCACATGCCCGTGGACCCGGAGGTGGACCCCGGAGACCAGCCCCTGGGCCCTCAGCACCCACTTCCACGCCACAGACCGTTTTCTCTGGGGAACAGTATGTGGCTGTACCAGAAATAAATGAAACCCCCTGGAAAATACCGTCTTGGTAGCTTTGGTCATCTCGGCTTCCCAAATGGCCTGCTTGTTGCAGGGGTCACTTGCTCTGTGTCCTTGAGCTCTTATTGGAAACAGAGCTTAATTTGCAGGAGAAGAACTCGCCTAATGTACCTGGGACCGTGGCAGGACAGGGGCATTTGTTTACCTATCAAGGTGGGTAAGTCCCATGCCAAGCTCTGTCCTAGGAACAAAGAGAGTCAAGATTTCTTTCTTTTTTCTTTTTTTGGTTTCACTATTGCATCATTACTTTGGTTTTATTTTTTTTCTCCCTCTGCTTATTTTATTTAATTTACTATTTTATTTTATTTATTTACCTTTAGAAGGGAAGGGAAGGAGAGAAGGAGAGAAATATCAATGTATGGTTGCTTCTGGTGCATTCCCTGCTGGGAACTGGCCTGCAACCCAGGCATGTGCCCTGACAGGGAATCGAACTGCGATGTTTTGGTTCGCAGGCCCATGCTCAATCCACTGATATTTTATTTTTGTTTAAGTATATTTTATTGATTATGCCATTAAAGTTGTCCCAATTTTTTTCTCCCCTCTGTCCCCCTCCTCCCTGCACCCCCACCCCCAGCATTCCCTCCCACTTTGTTCATGTCCATGGGTCGTACATGTGAGTTCTTTGGTTCTCCACTTCTATACTGCTCTTAACCTCTCCCCGTCTACTTTGTGCCTACCCTTTATGCTTCTTATTCCCTGTACCTTCCCCACCCCCGTCCCTCCCCTGCCCCCTCCCCACTGAAAACCCTCCGTGTGATCTGCATTTCTGTGATTCTGTTCCTGTTCTAGGTGTTTGCTTACTTTTTGTTTTCTAGGTTCAGTTGTTGATAGTTGTGAGTTTGTTGTCATTTTACTGTTCATAGTTTTGATCTTCTTTTTCTTAGATAAGTCCCTTTAACATTTCATATAACAAGGGCTTGGTGGTGATGAACTCCTTTAAAAGCTTGACCTTATCTGGGAAGCACTTTATCTGCCCTCCCTTTCTAAAGGATAGCTTTGCTGGACAGAGTAATCTTGGGGGTAGATTTTTGCCTTTCATGACTTCGGGTACTTCTTTCCCGCTCCTTCTTGCCTGCAGAGTTTCTTTTGAGAAGTCAGCTGACAGCCTTATGGGAAGTCCCAGTGGGCCGAGTGCCTCCCTGCAAACCCAGAGGTCATCGGTTCAATTCCGGTGGTCAGGGCACTTCCCTGGGGGTGGGGCCATTCTCCCTCCCTTCCCCTCTGTCTAAATAAATAAAAATATATTTTTTTAAAAAGCTTGCAGCCCTGGCTGGTATAGCTCAGTGGGTTGAGCGCGGGCTGGGAACCAATTTGATTCCCAGTCAGGGCACATGCCTGGGTTGCAGGCCGGGTCCCTGGTACAGGCTGCACGAGAGGCAACCACACGTTGATGTTCCTCTCCCTCTCTTTCTCCTTCTCTTCACCTCTCTCTAAAAATGAATAAATAAAATCTTTTTTTAAAGATTTTTTTTATTTGTTTATCTTTTGAGGGGAAGGGAAGGAGAGAGGGAGAGAAACATCAATGTATGGTTGCCTTTTGTGCGTCCCCTGCTGGGAACTGGCCTGCAGGGAACCGGTTTGCAACCCAGGCATGTGCCCTGACTGGGAATCAAACCACGATTGTCTGGTTCTCAGGCCCGCGCTCAATCCACTGAGCTACACCAGCCAGGGCCTTAAATAAAATCTTTTTTAAAAAAGCTTTCAGTTTAATATAAATTATTTTATAAAAGGAAGCAACCCCATTGCTTAAAAACATGAATGGACATAAGAGCTCAGATTTGAAGCCAGAGAGCCTGGCTCCTTTCTACTTCCTCCTCATTCTCCTAGAACCTGAACGGCTCCTGGTTCAGCCCCTCATTCCTCTGTACTCGATCCCCTAAGAGATCCTGCACTCAGCAGCCAAGAGAGCACAGCTGGCATCTTTGACGTTCTGCCGGGAGATCACTAACTAGATCTACATGTTGGTTGCGTACCTCTTCTATCCCTTGCCTCCCGTTTGCTAAATATTGTGGTGTAAAGATGGACACGAAGGCCCCACTGCCTTGACTTCTGGTGAAAGCTGATGGACCTCAAATGGCCTGAAGGCAAGTGCCCGAAACTGCAGCCCCGCTCCTGGTGAGAAGGTCCCCTAGCCCGACACCCGCCGCGTCTATCCCTGTGCAGCAGTGGCTCTGTGCCCTGCCAGCCGGCAGGGTCACCACACAAGCCCATCACGTCCCCCACAGTGAACCAGGGGCACCACGCCCTCCTGGTCCTACGCAGCCTGCCTGCCAACCCCCGGCTGTCCTGAGTGCTGCCCCGTGTGGCCTGCGGTGTCCTCGTTCCCGGAGCTGTGAGTATATGTGACGTATAAGCGCCCTCCATGTCATCTGTCTGCCATTCCCACACCCTATGGTGCACATCTGTCTGTCACCAATGGGGTGAAGAGGAGGAGATTAAAACACGTGTCTGCAGCCCTGGCTGGTGTGACTCGGTGGATTGACCACCAGCCTGTGAACCAAAGGGTCACGGGTTTGATTCCCAGTCAGGGCTCATGCCTGGTTGCAGGCCAGGTCCCCAGTAGGGGGCGCATGAGAGGCAACCACACACTGATGTTTCTCTCCCTCTCTTTCTCCCTCCCTTCCCCTCTGTCTAAAAATAAATAAATAAAATCTTTAAAAAATAGGCGTCTGCCTTGCTTTAACTTGGGTTGCAGTTGCTTCCACAGTCTAGCAGTAGGTTCCTCATTTCGCCATGAACCTGTGAACTTGCACTAACGGTTTCCCCAGAGACCTCAGACAAAGCCACATGTTGCAGGTTTTCAGTTCAACAACCTCTCACTTCTCCATATCAGGTTGTCTTCTTGGTCACTGTCTCTTCAGGACAAACTGCCTTCAACGCAATAGCTCCAAACCGCGATCACTTATTTGCTCACAGTGCACAGTTCCGTGGGCTCGGGAGGACCCTCCCTCAGCTCCATGTAGCATCAGCTGGGTGACTGGCGCGTCTGCGAGATTCCCTTCCCGGAGGGCTCACTCACCTGGCTGGGAGCCTGGTCCGCCCTCCGTGCGGGCCTGTCCAGGCAGCTGCTCGGCCTTCCTCACCGCATGGCGCTGGGGTTCAGCGAGGGAGGAAGTGGAAGCTGCCTGTTCGCCTAAAGGTCAGACCCAGAGTGGCACACTGTCCCTCCTCCCTAGGTCCAGCCCAGTTCACGGGGTTGGAACTAAGCTCTGCACCTTGATAGGAGGGGGAGCTGGGTGTGTACAGAGACGGGAGGGGTCCTCAGCAGCCACACACCCCTGATTTCACCGGTGAGGAAACTGACACTCAGAGGTGGGACCGAGGACTCAGGCGCCGAGCGGTGATAGAAGGAACAGTGTTACTGAGCTTTGCCAGTGCGCCCCAAACTGTGCTGTGCACTCCCACATGCAATCCCATGACAGTTATATGGCAAGAACATGGTCCCCACCTTACAGACGAGGAAATGGAGGCACAAGCGGGGAGTGGGGTGACTTGCCCAAGGCCATGTGGCTTGTAGGGAGGGAGCCTAGGGTCAAACCTGAGTGGTCTGGCTACCTAGTCGACCCTCGGAACCAGCAGCAAAGTACAAAAGCAACTAGATTTTTGTCTTGGAATGTAGTTTTGGAATAACAACAAGGCGGAACTGTGTCCAAGGTGCCTGTGAGTTCCAAATAAAACAAGATGTGACATTCTTCATAACTCAACACAGTGCATTCTGGAAAATTTACCATAGAATGGCC